CGCCTGATTGGCGCCGCGCCTCTCTCTTCTCTCCCGGCAGCCAATCGCGCCCGGCGAGGAGCTGTTGGTGTGGTACAATGGGGAGGACGACCCGGAGATAGCCGCCGCTATTGAGGAAGAGCGAGCCAGCGCCCGGAGCCGGCGGCACTCCCCGAAAGCCAAGAAAGGTAAGGGCACCGCCGCCCCCCGGGCTCCCCGCCGGGCACGGCGGGGGGGGCGCGGAGCGGGGCGACCCGCCAACTTCTGCCGGGTGGGCGGCGGCGGCCGCCGTGACCTTCTCCGGAGGGAGGGAAGGGAGGGCCGGGGGGCGGCGAGGCGAGACATGGAAGTTGTGGCGTCTCGCCGAGCCCGACTGGAAAAAGTTGGCCGGGGCGGCGTGAGAGGCGCCGGGCTGGTTCTGCACAGCGGCGGGGAGGGGAAGAACGTCTCGGCGGGGGCGGGAAGGGCCGCGGTGAGGGGCCGGGGCGGCCTCCGCGAACCAGAAAGTTTGTGTGGGTGGGTGCGGCGGGGATTGCTCCCGGGCAGCGCTAACAAGTGAGGTGTCGCCCAGGAACGGGCTTCTCTTGGGCGCCAGCGTGATTTGGGTTGGTTTGGGGTTTTTTTTGTTTGGTTTTTTTGTTTTGTTTTGTTTTTTTTTTTTTTTTTTTTTTTTTTTTTTTTTTTTTTTTTTTTTTTTTTTTTTTTTTTTTTTTTTTTTTTTTTTTTTTTTTTTTTTTTTTTTTAACTTTAGCCGAGCGCTGGTGCAAATAGAAAATTAAAGCTTTTGTTACTTCCTGCGGTTTTTAATTTCTCGTTATTTTTAGGGTGCTGGCGAGTCTTGTTGCTTATGAAATGTTGCAGGCAGCGCGAGTGACTGCTTTTGGCTGACTTTGGCGGAGGAGGAAAGGATGGGAGAAGGATTTCGGGGGGGGTGTACATACAGGCGTTAGTCTCTACGTAAATATGTATGTCAAACCAGACATCCATTATTTTTTCCATGATTAATTCAGTAGCAGTATTTTTTAGAGTGCATGTGTCTCCACAGATGGCCTTATATAACTGACATTTTGACTACCTTTTTAGGCCAAAATCGCAATAGAAGCTATCGCTTACAGGGAGTAAATATAAAAAGGAAGTATTTACAGCTGTAGCACGAGATTATAAATTCTTTTTGTCTGTGAATTTGTAGATTTTGGGATTTTCTGAAGGTGACAAACAAAGTAAACAAGAAAAGGAGATATTTTTAAATGGCATCATTGTGAAATATTTTAACTTAAAATTTATGGCCTGACCTTACTTGTAGTACAGTTGACTGTGGAACTCACGAGCTCATATATTTGGGACAACAGTTCTTACATAGGTTTTTGTGGGTTTTGGTTTTGTTTTGTTTTTTTTTTTAATTTTATAAGAGGCTGGGAAAAAAGTGGTGCAGCACAATTGGTTATTCTTTTGGACATTAATTTGTAGGTTAAGCTAATACAAACTGAAATTCAAGCACTGATTTGTATTTTGCTACCTGTAATGAAAAACATATTTAGCACATATATAAGCAAAGCTTGGGAAATTAGAGGCTGTATTAGGCTTTTTCCTAAATGTGCATTATCTTAGCAAATAAAATTTGTGTGCCTGTGATTTACCTGAAAGGCTAGAAAAACAACTTGAAATAATTTGATTATATTATAAATCAGAAAAGCCAGACAGAATAATTTCTAAGGTAATTTTTCGTGGCATAGAAGTTTTATTTGCATTCATAAAGCTATAGATAAAAATATCAGTAAACTAATTTGGTGGTTAATGGGGTTTGGTTTTGTGCTGTTTTATAGGTTTAAAGTTTTAACTGTTACGGGTTTTACAGATTTCAGACTGTCATAATTAGGAACAATAGGTCTTTTATAAATATAAACTTTGTATCAAGGGTCACAAATATTAAAAAGAAGAAAAACCAAGAACCAACCCCAAATACAATGTAGATGAAGCATTTGAATATAATAATAATATAGAATAATTTATCTATGGAATTAAACTCCTGTTTTATGAAGCAAAAGGACCAAATTCTAAGTAGTTGCTTTGAATTGTTATGATTTAAAGTTTCAGCATCTATGCTGTAAAAGATAAGGCAAGTCATAGTATGTACTTTATTCTTTTCTAATGCATGCATATTTTGAAATTCTATCGTTCTATTTTTAGTAGGTTCCATTGGAATTATTTTTACTCTTCTGCATTTACTCTCAGTTATTTTTGTATTTGTAGTAACATCTGCTAATATTTGCAATTAACAGCAATTTTCTTATAAGAAGCATAATACTTTTCTGCTGATCTGATAGCAGTAGCTGCAATTAGGATTCCAAAATGGTTTCTACTGGTATCCCTTCTTTTGCAGATCCAGCTACGTCTCTTGGATTTGGAAGTTTCTTAGCCCTGGGGTTGAGTTTTTATGTGAAAATAAAGGAAACTGTGTGATGAGCAGGGTTAAAAAAATAATTAAAAGAAATTATAAAATTCAAACTATATGGTAAAGTTGGGAGGAGAAGGATGTTGCAAGTTAACTTTATGCATGTGAAGTCAGTACAAGGTAATCTTTTAGATGAAGTGCCGGTTTAAGAAACTTGCTAGAGAGTAATTGCTCCAGAGGGTTGTGAAATTTGAATTTATTAGCTACCTAAACAGATCAATTAATTCTTTTTTTTAATAAACTTTATTTTGGCCTGTGTTGCAGGTTGTCATCTTACACATTGAGGAGAAAATAGAACTAAGTATGAACTGCCAAAGTTTAAACAACTGTGAATGAGTGTGTCCTTTAGAAACAGAGTTTCCAGAAAGAGAAACTGACAGTTTAATGCCTTAGAAATGACTAGACAAGACTTTATTTGAGAAATGTATTATAATTTAGTTATTCAAAACATGAAGTTGTTAAATAGCTTATAATTATTCTGTATTCAGTAAAACAAATATCCTTTTGAATTTTTAATGCATCTTAGGCCTTGTCCTTGGAGAGTTAAGATACATATCATTTGACAAACACTCCTGTTTCTGCAATTTATTTAGTGAACTCTAATTATATCAGAGAAGGTGACTGTTTCACAAGTATTAGAAATGTGATGGGTTTTGCTCAGTCAAGGCTTTCGTTATTGTAAAACTTTTCATATTGCAGGAGGAATACTCTTTATTTCTGAATAAACCCTCACAGGCTGTCAATTTGGACTGTGCTACCATAAGAGGTAGGCTGTACTAAATTTGTAAAGTTGAGATGGCATTTAAGAATCAGCAGCTGACCAAACCTAGGGCAGACACAAAATAGAGATTGAACTGTTTTCCTTGACCTTGATCTGACCTCTCTTTGCAAGCGATTACTGACACAAGGTTTGTAATCTCCTTTAGAGCATATTTAGGATGGCACCTGGCATTCTCTGCCATGTACCCGTCTTCTCCCATGTGTTTGCAGAAGGTGGGATCTTGGTTATGCCTCAGTCGTGTTTCTCAAAGCTCGCCTGTTCTTTACTTGCATAACTTCTTCAGCAGTTCCATGTCTTGCACGTTTTTATTCTTGCAGTCTGCATTCAAAATGCTTTACATCTCCCAGATGTTAATGTTCAGTGGTTACTGCCTGGCTTGGTTGTAGGTTTTCAGGGCTGGAATAAATCTTTTACATCTTTCTTCTACCGTGCACAAGCAGCTTAGGAGTCCTTGAGGAAAAAGAGGCAGTTCCTACTAATTTATTTTTATGCATTGAAACATTGCATGTTGTTGCTAAGGTGATGAGCGCGTTTGAGATTTAAGAAGAAATTTAGTGGAATAAAAGGTTATAGGGAGGAGGGGAATAGAACTCCCCAAAAAAGAAAACAACTTGGTGAACTCAAGTATCATCAAAGATTTTTATCAGAGCCAAGCCCTCTTATCTTTGACACGGTTTTTATGTGGTTAAGAGCCAGCAGCTGCCAGTGCATGGTCAACAACTAGTAGAAAAATGATCTAATAGATTCTTTGTTGCTTTTTCATTTTCTGAAATGTCATTTATTTGTTAAGTGTTTATCATCTGCTTCTCCCAAGTTTTAGTTAAGGTGCGTCTGTTCTGCCTGCCAGGCTTATAGGAAAATTTGTTCAAATCAAATGCATTAACACAAGATTTTTCATTAATACCCATTCTAAGGAAAAAGAGAACAGCTTGGCTTTTGCTTTACAGTTAAACTCATGTGTCTCATTCCCTCTAATGAAGAGGGATGGTGTGGACATCTTTTTCTCTCATCAGGGTATTTCCTCCTTTATATTTGACAGCAGTAATATGTAGCAGTAGTAAGCAGTAATATCGAAGATTAGTGTTTCCTTCAAGAAGATCTCTTTTGGCGTCCCTGGCCTCAGACTTGGTCTTCCTTTCAAAAGTAACTTTTCACTAACTAAATAAAGTATTTAAGGAAAAAAAAGGTGGTCACACATAAAAAGTATGCAGTGGTTTTGTCAGGCTATAATCGGATTTAAGGTGCTAAGTAGGCTCCAGAGTGTAATCAAAGAATGCTAATATCATCCAGGCAGTTTCTGTCATCAGTTATGTGGCAGATCAAAAGTTTGTTCTCAGAGGAAGAAAGATACTGAAGATACACAGTTTGCTCTGCTCTACGTCCTTGTGAATAATACCTTTTAAAAAAACCCTTTTTTTTTTGGAGGGGAGAAAAGGGCAACGTTTTACTTCTCCTGTGCTTATTTATATCTCTGTGGTAGTGGTTCCATGCTGTGCTGTTCAGCTGTATTTGTGTCTTAGCCGTGTTCCACTTAGCACTTTATCTAGGCAACAAACCCCAGTGGCATAATTCGTACTATTGTCTGGAATGAATGCTGCATGTGCCTCTTTCTCTCTCCAAAGTTGGGCTGTCAGGAGGGGGGAAAAAGAGTCTGTAATTTCATTTTACCCAAAGCACACGCTGCGTAAGGCAACTTGAGTTGTCTGTCATGAAACCAAATGACCTCTTAAAAAAACCCACTTGTGTCACCTCTTAAAATAGAGTCCTCTATTGTAGTGGGGGCAAAACACCTGAATCAAGTTCATCTATGTCTTGGACAGCCCCTGGTAATTTTTTTTTTTTAATTGTAGTACAGTTTGAAAGTCTCAAACCATTGCTAATAAATCTTTTAAAACTTTACTACCTTAAATGGTTCTACTGCTATCGTGATCTTGCTATTTCTCATAGTTCTTATC